GCTTAACCAACTGAGCCACCCAGGCGCCCCTGATATTTATTTTTTAATAATTTTTTTATTATGTTAGTCACCATACAGTGCATCATTAGTTTTTGATGTAGATTCATTGTTTGCATATAATACCCCGTGCTCCATGCAATACGTGTCCTCCTTAATACCCATCAACGGGCTAACCCATCCTCCCACCCCCCTCCCCTCTGAAACCCTCAGTTTGTTTCCCGGAGTCCATAGTCTCTCATGGTTTGAGAACTATCATATAGCAGGCCCTGAGCTAGGCCTCAGGGGTACACTGGTAACCAAAATGAAGAGATGCATAATGCTAAGTCAAAAGCCAAAGATTAATTAGCTAAGAATTCTGCCTAGCACTACTCAACTTAGTAGAGCTATCTGGTCACTATAATTTATTCAATATCATGGACCGGCATCTTTTTGCTGAGTTTTGAGTGTATACTATCATCCTGATCAGCACTGAAAGAACTTTGAGTATCTCTTAAGACTGTTGAAATTAGTGAATTAGATTATTTAATGTTTTAAATAGGTAACACATTCACACAGTCCAAAATCTAAAAGGTACAAGAATGTAAGTGAAATGTCTTTCTTTTACCTCTGTTCTCCAATACCCCACCCCTCCCTCCAATACCCAACACCCCTCCCTGAATCAACTCAGTTAGTTTAGTGGATATCCTTGTTTTATCCATATTTTAGAGTAAGGATTCTTAACTAGATTTGTAACTTGAGAATAGACCTCATCTTGATCCTGTGGTAACCTGTCCTTCTAAGACTATATCCTGTTCTACAGGACTTATATGAATCAGAAGTTCAGATTTTATTTTCCAGATGAGTATAGTGTGAGTTATTCTCAAGGGGGAAAATAATGGGAAAAACAACTAGAAGAGACATGCAAAAATATATTTTACTGTTATTACTCTTAAGAGTATTTCATGCCATCAAATAGTCTCTGCCAAACAAATTTATACTGTCATGTTTTAAAAGTCTGGTTTCCTAAGGAAAACTATACCTGGTTCTATCAAGATTATGAAAATAATAGTCCTTGCTAAGGGCTATGTAGTCTTTATTTAAGCTTCACAACAATCACATGAAGTATATACATTTCATAGGTGAAGAAAATGAAGGGATAGCAAATGTAAGTTCTCAAACCTAGACCAGGGCTCCAGTGCCCTCACTCTTAATTTGCATGATACTCATTATCCATCCTAATAGAGAACAGCCAAAAGAAGGCACGTGGCAATATTTTCTGTTTATACATTTTTGTTGTTTATTCAAAATCTTTATTCTCAAATTTTAGGATCCATCAAAATTACTCATATTTAAATGCAGGTTCCCAGGCCCCGGCACTGACTTAGAGAATTAGAATCTCCGAGAGAAGGGCTCCAGCCAGGCATGCTTATTTTAACCAGTACAGGCAGGTGACACTAAGCCGGCTGGCTGTAAGCACAATGACAACTCTCATACCTGTGACAGTTTATGTTTTCCAAAATTGGCCACAACCGTATCTTCCAACATACACATACTATGTTAGTTTCTAGAATCTCTCCACTCCCCTTTCAAGAGGTGGAGTCCATGCCCCATACCTTTGAAACTGGGTGGGTTTTTGTGATTAGTCAACCAATAGATTATAGTGGGAGTGATGCTATGTGATTTCCAGGACTAGGTCAAAAAAAGACAATTCAGCTTCTGTTTTTGCTAGCTAGAACACTCACTCTTGGAACCCAGCTACCAGGTAGTGAGAAAGCCCAGGGAGAGGCCCACTAGGAGAGAAGCTAATAGCCAGCACCAACCTGCCAGCTATGTGAGCCATCTTGGAAATGGATCTGGGCCCAGTCAGGCTGCCCAGGCTGACACAGCACAGCATGGAACAGAGATGTGCCTTCCCTGCCAAGCCCTGCCCAAACTGCAGTTTCAAGAGCTAAGTAAATAATCGTTGTCGCTTTAAACAGGAAGTATGAGCTGGTTTGTTAGGCAACAATAGATAAGTGGAACAGCACACTTCTAACTTAATATTCACTCTGCTTTTCTTCCTATCAGGGTGAATTCTCCTGAGCCCTCTCTAAAATATTCTGAAAGTACACTTGTCCAATGTCATTTATTTTCCCAGATTCTTCTAATCACAGAACCACTTATTTCAGACTTCTGGTTATGTGAGGTTCTCATTATTACCTCTGAGGCTTGGTTTCTCATCTCAAAAGCACTGGTAATAACAGAACCTACCTCATGAGCTTTATAGTTAGATGAGATGATCCATGTAATCATTTAACATTGTGCCCAGCACATAATATTCTCTTATTTTTACAAGGTTTCTTGCATTCATAGTCTCCATTTCTTTAATGCAATGTGTGTGTGTGTGTGTATACACACACATATACTTTTTCTTGTTTTCTTGTAGTCCCATGCCATTTTATAGGCTATTTCCTATGCCTGACATGCTCTTCCCTACTGGGTCTCTTAGACTCTTATTCACCCTTGAGGGCAACTCTTCCCCTTTGGGAAAGCCTTCTCTGACTTCTCAATTAATGCCTCTCTGGGCTCAAATAGCGCCTTGGAGGAACCTCTACTATAGCCATTAACACACTGGGTTGTAATTAATTACTTGTCTCTCTTCTCTATTGGACTGGAAGGCAGTCAGTGTTGTCTTTGTATTCTCACCCCCCAGCACAGCACCTGGCACATCCTTACTCACCATCTACCTTTGTGCTGTGCTAGGAAACACTGTGGTTAAGCAATCAGGGGTCCATGTTTTGGGAGACCTGCTCGGGGTCAAAACAGCTCCATTTTCTCCTGCATAATCTTGGAAAAAATTAGTTGACATTTCTGAGCCTCATTGTAGAGACACCTTCTTAAGATTGCTGTGAAGTAAAATAATACCTGTGAAAAGCCTATCCCAGAGCAAGCAAGCAGTCATCAAATGTCACAAAATGCTTCTCCAACAGTCCCATTTTCAGGCATCGCCACTCTAATCTTCCTTTAGGGCCCTGCGCTCCACGGGTAATCCCTCTCTCAGGGATTGCTCTGGGCTCTCTAATCCTGTCCTCGGTCATTCCTCCAGCTAGCAACTCTGCGTTCAGAAGCCAATTCCCTGCACCCCAACTCTCTCCAGACCCTTTCTTTCAGCCTTCCCTGAGCTTAAGGGGCCCGATTTACGTGAAATTTAAAAACCAAAATTTAAATATCAAAACTCTATGACTAGGGTTTCCCTGTATAACTTCCGAGACCCGCATTTAGGAGTATGGCTACTGAGTTGCAGTCTTCCACCTCCCTTTGAGGAAGGAGCCCGCGGCTCAACTTAACCCGAGTCGTTCCCCGCTGCCGCCGCGCGCAAAAACGTTGAATGAACAAACAGACGAACGGATGAATGAATGGGCTGCGCCCGCGGCTGGGCCTCTCTTACGTCGCCCACTGGCGCAGGCGTGGCCGCGGTAAGAGGCCTGCGGGGCGTCGGCCGCGTAATCCCACCGTCGCGCGGCGGGCTCGACCACGAGCGCCAGAGCTCCGCGCCGCCTCGCGTCTCCTCCCCCAAGTCCCTGCCCCGCCGGGGCTCGTCACTTCCGCCACCCCCAGGCCGGGGCTGGGGCGGAGAACGCGGGGGAGGGGGCCAGGTCCTAGGGAAGCCCGCCCGCGCACGAGCAGGGACTACATTTCCCGAGGGGCCTCGGCGGCGGCGGCGCCGGCAGCGGCGGCGGCGGCGGGCGCGGCAACGTCCCCCGGAAGTGGAGCCCTGGACTTCCACTCGTGCGTGAGGCGAGCGGAGCCGGAGTCGAGACCAGAGGCCGAACTCGGGATCTGACAAGATGGCTGGGCTTCCCCGCAGGATTATCAAGGTAACCGCCCAGGCCAACCCCCGGCTCTGCGCTTTGCTCTTGGCGGCTTGGCAGACCGCGCGGCGCGGCTCCTCCCTTCCTCGGGCCCCCGGCCCGCGCTGGGAGGCCCCAGGCCAGCGCGGAGAGGGTCTGGCTGTGGCGGCGAGGGAAGTCAGGCGCTGGGGAGGGGGCTCCAGAGAGACTTCCGGCCGCGGTGGGGCAGCCAGGCGGCGGGGACCGGGGGCTTCCCTGTGGCCGCCCTGCGGGCGGGGAAGGCCTGGCCTGCACCCTGGCGGAGGGTGGGGCCGCGGGGTTGCGGGGTTCTAGTCTTGGGCGCGGGCCGGCGCGGGCCTCCGCGGCCTGACCACCCGGGAGGAGGCCGCGGGCGCGCGCGAATCGTGGCGGGGCCCGGACTCAGGGCGGGAGTTGGGGCCCGACACAGCCCCTCGGCCCTGGAGCCTTCTTTCGGGCCGGGCGGGAGCGCGGGGGGAGCGGAAGCCCCGGGTTCAGAATGAATGAACCAGGAGCGTGATGCCGGGCGGGGCCCTGTGCCCCAGGAGGCGGCTCCGGGAGGGCCGCGCGTCCTGCGGCCGTGGGCACATGTTCGCCGCAGGCTGCGGGGGTCGAGGGACACGAGGCTGCGCGCCCCTCTGCCCTCGCTTTCGTTATCTCCTCTCTTTTAAATACGTTTCCGCTCGTTATCTCTGTGAAGTGATTTTACTCTGGTTGGCAAACTCTTTGAGAGCGGTTTCTGCTCAGAGGAAATAGTTTAACACAACATGGGGGGGGAGGGGCAGAGCAGGTATGGGGGACTTGGTGAAATCCTTTGCCTCCCGATTTTATGCACTTTAATGTTTAAACTGTTCCAATACATATGGGACTATGAAAAATGGACATATTGGTTTTGTAAATCCTTTACATAATATCAGGTCCTCAGATGTACGGTATTTCTTGCAGTACATAAAAGCAAAACGTTGAAATTTCTTGTCATTTTTAATGAAAATTTTAGTTGAACTTCTGTGTTCCTTAATACGCGAGTTAAAGTGACTAAATTGCAGCATCATTTCCTTTATATAACCTGGTGAACGTGTATTTAATCTAGCTTGTTCTGAAGTTTGAGGGGAGATGCATACTAAATTCAAGATCTTTTAATGGGTGATGTATTGTGCAGTGTTTCGTGCAACTTAAATATATCTGAGATGGGGGGATGTCTCTGACCTAGAGTTGCTTGATTTGGAGAAATAAGACTTTTTTTTTTTTTTTTTTTTTAAGATTTTATTTATTTGAGAGAGACAGCAAGAGAGGGAACACAAGCAGGGGGAGTAGGGGAGGGAGAAGCAGGCTTCCCGCTGGGCAGGGAGCCCGATACGGGGCTCGATCCCATGACCCTGGGATCATGACCCGAGCCAAAGGCAGACACTTAACGATTGAGCCACCCAGGCGCCCCGAAATAAGACTTTTTATAAGGTAGAAATTCTTAGAAATTAGAGAAGTAGCATAGATTGTCATTGTGTGCTGCAGTCTAATGTGAACTTTCATGGTGCAGAATTTGTATTATGGATTTGTCTCAGACTCTGTCCAAGGCAGTTAAATTGCTGTATGCGTTGGATGGTCCTTACAATGTGGTTTTCCTCACATGACCCCAATCATGTTTATTGAAGCCCCAGTTGAAAATGAGAGATGGGGGGTATCTAGCTGTACACCAGATGTCTTCAAATTTTTGTTTCCTGTATTCAGGTTATTTATTGACTACATACTACAAATTGATATTCGTAATAATTCTCCAAAATACGTAATGAACTGAAGATTTAACATTTTTTCCAGTTTTGCTTGATTCTGGACACACTCTGCGGTAATATGAAAACCTTGGATGGAAAAATAAATTCTGTGAAACCTTCTTTAATAAAGTTACAGAAATGATTTATGGCAGTGAATTGAAGTCCTCATAATTCACTTTTTTTGGCACACAATTTAGTTTACACTAGGTATTTTCATTTTACTATTTTAACCAATACAGTGATAATTCATAAATATGGTCTTAATTTTACAGTATCTTGTTGATAGCACCTCTTTAATAAAAGGTGACTTCATTTGGGTTTTATCTTGGAAAAGTTAGGTGGTTTTACTTTAATGGTCATTTATAGCTTAGCTTAAAAGAACTGTTTTCTCCAATCCCTAGAAAGATTACAAGACTATAATGTGTTTTCTAGTGCTTACCATTGTATTATGTATATTTTCCCATTATCAGTGAAAAAAATTTTTTTAAGATTTGTTTATTTGAGAGAATGTGTGCGGAGTGAGTGGGGGGAGGGGCAGAGGGAGAGACTCTCAAGCAGTTTCCCCGCTGAGCATGGAGTCCCAGACTGGACTCGATCCCAAGACCCGGAAGATCATGACCTGAGCCGAAACCAAGAGTTGGATGCTCAACCTACTGAGCAACACGGTACCCGAAAATGTTTGTTTTTTAATCAGAATTTTTAAAAAGTTTGCCTCTTTTTTGTCATCCGCAATACAGGATTCTATGTGGAATATGCTGGTGGTGGTGGTGCAGGGTAGGTAGCTGTACTGTCCTGAACTGTAGGAACACACCGTCTTTCATTGGACAGCTGTTAATAGGATACTGTTTACCTCCAACTGGTCATTATTTACATTTGCGAAATTCTTTTTTTTTTTAAGATTTTATTTTTAAGTAATCTCTACACCCAACGTGGGGCTTGAATCCACAACCCTGACAACAAGAGTCGCATGCTCCACCAACTGAGCCAGCCAGGTGCTCCTGCATTTACAAAAGTCTTATACCATTTAATACTTGTAGATCTTGATCTTGTGAAGTAGACTACCGTTATAGTCTAGAAACCCATTCAAATGACTTTCTTAGGGTCTTAAAACTGGCAAGGGACAGAACTTGGATCTTGACCCAGTGTGACCTTCCCCTGCCTCTTGTTATTATGAAATGACAATGTATGTAAATATACTTTGATAACTTTAATTAACTATACAGATATAAGATGATTTTTTTGAATTAGTATTCACTCATTTCCTGTCCTACTCAGATTCCCATATACAGTCCACTAGCAAATTCCCTAGGGCATCAACTTTCAAAATATATTCTTAATCAGCTACATTTACCCATCTCTCTGAAACCACTGTTCAATTCCATCATTTGTTGCCTAGCCTACTGTATTAGTCTCCTAAGCAGCAGCTAGTGTTACTTTCTAAAAATATAGATCATATCACTCCCCTTCTCAACTCTACAAAGGTTCTCCATCACACTTAGAATAAAATCTTGACTTTTTCCCCCGTAGTTACAAGGCCTTCCTTGCATCTGCCTACCTCTGAGGTCATCTCCTGCATGTCTGTCCTTGGGTCACTCTACTGTAACCACAGTGTTGCTTTGCTCAGTCTGAACAATAAGAGGCTAAGTTTGTTCCAGTCACAGGGCTTTCCTTCTGTTTACTACATTACCTGTTTTGGCGTATCGTTCAGTTCTTGGCTCACATGTCATCCTCAGAGAGGTCTACCTTAATTATCCCAAAACACAGTTTTCCTCTCCCCCTCCCTTAGAGTTCCTCATTATCCCCATATTTCCTCCTCTCCTCTCTATAGCACTTATCACTATTTGAAGTTATATTATTTATTCTTTATCTCTGCGCCTACTAAAGCTCCACGAAGGCAGGGATTCTTAGATGACTTGGGAATTGCTCTAATCCCTAGAGGATGTAGTGTAATAGGCACTGAAATATTGAATGAATGAATGAATGTGCTTCAATCTTTGGAAGAAAGTTTTAGGAGAGTTATTCTATATCATAATTTGACGTTATTGCTTAGTAGATTTCTATCTAAATCAATGTCTGAGCTAAAAGTTAATCTCTGAGCTAAAAGTTAATCTCTGAGCTAAAAGTTCATCTCTAATTCATTAAAAAATCAATTTTTTATTTTGTCTAATAGGAAATACATGGAGTGCAGCATTTGAAAGGTTCTAACAGGTACATGGAGAAAGTTAAAGACTCTCTCATCTGCCCTTCAGCATTCCACTTGCCTGCCCAGACAACCATAATTTTTACTGTGTATTCTTCCAGAAAGACCAAAGAGATTTAGTATGTATATTTAGGCCTATTCCCCTCCTCCTGATGCAAATACTTTAATCTCCTCGCCCCCCACCAATCTATCTTGTTTTTTTTATTTTTATTTTTTAAAGATTTTATTTATTTGAGAGCGAGAGAATGAGAGACAGCATGAGAGCAAGGAGGATCAGAGGGAGAAGCTGACTCCCTGCTAAGCAGGGAGCCCCATGTGGGATTCGATCCTGGGACACCAGGATCATGACCTGAGCCGAAGGCAGTCGCTTAACCAACTGAGCCACCCAGGCGCCCTGCCCCCACCAATGTATCTTTGAGGCGACTCATTTTTAAAGGGGTTCTTTGTGGAACCATGTAGTTAGACCTTAATTTAACCAATTGTTTATTGCTGATTTAGATTGTCTCTAAAATTTGCTATACAAAATGCTGTGATGAATGGTTTTATAGTTAGTGGTATTTTGCACAAGTGTGAGTTACACTGAATCTTGGCAGTTCTTTGTTTTGCTAGAATTTTAGAATTTGCTTTTTTCTCTCTTCTCCTCGGCCAGAACTCTTTTAGTCTCTAAAAGTGACTGAGCAATTAAAGCTTAAAATCACGTAGGTTAAAAGAAACTAAAATAAGAAGTCCTTCCTAATCGGTTCCTCATAAAGAATTAGAGTTACTTTGGGAGAAGATAAATGAGATCTGTAGTTGTGGCCTTGGTCAATAATTTATTTAAGATTTACAGTTTAGGGGCGCCTGGGTGGCTCAGTTGTTAAGCGTCTGCCTTCGGCTCGGGTCATGATCCCAGAGTCCTGGGATCGAGCCCCACATCGGGATCCCTGCTTGTCAGGAAGCCTGCTTCTCCCTCTCCCTCTCCCACTCCCCCTGTTTGTGTTCCCTCTCTCGCTATGTCTCTCTCTGTCAAATACATAAATAAAATCTTTAAAAAAAAAAAAGAT